CATGAATTCTTCAGCAATGCCAACATAGTCTGAAATGACCTGAAATCAATACGAAACATACCCGAGCCCCTCGAGACCCCATCCAAACACACAAACCAATTCCAAAACATAACACGAACATAATTGAGGCCTCAAATCACATAAAACAACATAGAAACCATAAATCGCACCTCAATTAAGCCTAAGGAAACTAATGAACTTCTAACTTTCAAAACTCATGTCGAACCACATCAAATCAGCTCGGATTGACCTCAAATTTTGCATACAAGTCCCAACTGACAAAACAAACCTATTCCAACTCTCGCAACCACAATCCGAACCCGATATCACCAAAATGGACTCTTGGGTGAACCTATGAACCTTCCAAACCTTCAACTTTCAACTTTTTCCAAAAAGCACCAAATCAACCTACGAACCTCCAAATCAAAATCCGGGCATACGCCTAAGTTCAAAATCACAATACGAACCTATTAGAACCATCAAAGTCAAACTTTTGTCAATCTTTACAACTTAAACACTCAACCTTGAGAGTAAGTGTCCCAATTCAATCCAGAACACCCCCGAAGCCAACCCAACCAACCCCGAAAGTGACATAGCAACAAAATACACATATGTAAAGCATCAAGTAGGGGAAACGAGGCTCAAATACAGAAAACGACCGGCCGGGTCGTTACTTTCTCCCAAACATTCATCCTCGAACGAGTCTAGAATCATACCCGGAGTCTCAAAAAGGCGATGATATCTGCTCCGCATCTCCTACTCGCTCACCCAAATAGCCTCCTCGACTGCTGACCTCTCCAATGAACCTTCATTGTAGTTATATTCTTTGACCTCAACTTTTGAACCTGCTAGTAAAAAATGGCTACCGACTCCACATTATAAGTCAAATCCCCATCAAACTGCACCGTGCTGAAGTCAAATACATGTGACGGATTCCCATAATACTTTCCCAACATGAAAACATGAAACACTAGGTGAACTCCCGATAAATTGGGTGGAAAAACAAGTTTGTAGGCCACCTCTCTAACGCTCTCTAGCACCTCAAAAGGACCAATATACCTAGGGCTCAACTTGACCTTCTTCCCGTATCTCATCACACCTTTCATGGACGAAAATCTGAGTAGAACCTTCTCACCCACCATATAAGCTACATTATGAGCCTTCCTGTCCGCATAACTCTTTTGCCTGGACTGGGCTGTACGTAGCCGTTCCTGAATCAACTTCACCTTCTCCAAAGCATCGTGGACCAAATAAATGCCCAACAACCTAGCCCCTCAAGGCTTAAACCAACAAATCGGAGGAAGACATCGCCTCCTATATAAAGCCTCATACAGAGCCATCTGAATACTCTACTAATAGCTGTTGTTGTAGGCAAATTCTGCTAATGGTAGAAACTGATCCCATGATCCCCAAAAATCAATGACACATGCTCGTAACATGCCTCCCATACCTGAATAGTATGCTCAGGCTATCCGTCTGTCTGGGGATGAAATGCCTTACTCAGCTCGACCCGTGTGCCTAACTCACGTTGCACTTCTCTCCAAAAAAGTGAAGTAAACTATGTGCCTTGTTCCGAGATAATAGACACGGGTACACCATGGAGGATAATAATCTCACGAAGATAAATACGAGCCAGCTGCTCAGAAGAGTAGGTATCATGACCTGGAAAGAAATGTGTAGACTTGGTTAGTCAGTCCATAATAACCTACAATTCATCAGATCTCCTCAAGGCCCGTGGAAGTCAAACTACAAAATCCATAGTGATACGCTCCCACTTCCACTCTAGAATATCTAACCTCTAAAGCAAACCAACTGGTCTCTTATGCTCGTACTTCACCTGCAGACAATTCAAACACCGAGCAACATACTTACCAATATCCTTCTTCATCCTCCTCGACCGACAGTGCTGCCTCAAGTCCTTGTACATCTAATGAATGGAATACCACGAACTATGGGCCTCCTCAAGTATCAACTCTCGCAACCCATCCATATTAGGCACACAAATAGGGCCCTGAAGCCTCAATACCCCATCATCATCAATAGTAACGTCCTTAGCATCACCGTGCTACACTATGTCCCCTAGGACAAGCAAGTGGGAATAATCATACTAACATGCCTTGATGCTCTCAAATAAAGATGGCCATGATACACACATGCAAGAACCCTGCCAGGTTCTAAAATATCCATCCTCACGAACCTGTTGGCTAAAGCCTGAACATCCAAAGCTAATGGTCTCTCCCCAACCGGAATAAAAAGAAGACTCCCCATGCTCTCAGCCTTCCTACTCAATACATCAAGCCACCATATTGGCCTTCCCCGGATGATAAAGAATGGTAATATTATAGTCCTTCATTAGTTCTAACCACCTCTGTTGCCTCAAGTTAAGATCATTTTGCTTGAATAAGTTCTGGAGACTGCCGTGATCTGTGAACACCTCACAAGACACGCCATAAAGATAGTGCCACTAGATCTTAAGCACGTGAACAATGGCCGTCAACTCCAAATCGTGCACTGGGTAGTTCTTCTCACGAGGCTTCAACTGAAGCTAAGCATAGGCAATCACTATCCCCTCCTACATTAACACGCACCCAATGCCAATCTATAAAGCATCACAATAACTGTATAAGAACCCGATCCCAAAGGCAAAACTAGAATTGGAGCCGTAGTCAAGGCAGTCTTGAGCTTTTGAAAGCAATCCTCAATCTCATCATACCACCTGAATGGAGCACCCTTCTACGTCAATCTAGTCAGTGATGCTGCTATAGATGAAATCCCCTCCAAAAATGGCGATAATACACAACCAGCCCAAGGAAACTTCGGATCTCAGTACGAGTAGACAATCTCGGCCAACTATGAACTTCCTCAATCTTCTTTGGATCCACCTTGTTCCCCTCAATGGATACCACATGACCCAAGAATGCCACAGAGTCTAACCAAAACTAGCACTTGGAGAATTTATCATATAGCTTCTTCTCCCTCAAAGTCTAGAGTACAATCCTTAAATGTTGCTCATGATCTTCTCGGCTACGAGAATATACCAATATATCATCAATGAAAACTATGATGAAGTAATCCAGATAAGGCTGAAACACGCTATTCATCAAGTACATGAAAGCTGCTAGGGCATTGGTCAGCCCAAACGACATCACCAAAAACTCATAATGGCCACGGTGGGTCCGGAAAGTAGTCTTCAGAATTTTTTAAGCACTGATCATCAACTGATGATACCCCGATCTCAAATCAATCTTACAGAGCACTCTAGCACCTTGAAGCTGATCAAATAAGTCATCAATAAGCAGCAGTATAATGAACAGAGCAAGAGACTTCATGGAAGCAAACTAAATTATAGATACGAAAGTTTCCCTACAAAGGGGCTGGCTTCAACAATCCATAAGGGACGGTTGCCAAGCTACACAAATAGTTAATTTGCTTATAGTCACAAAAGTTTTCCTACAAAGGGGCTGGCTTCAACAACCCATAAGGGACGGCTTGCGAAGCTATAAAACTCAGTAAACTTTTGTACTATAACCAACTTTAGCTGTTATAACTCAGAAAACTTTTGTACTACAATAAGCTAACTTTCTTAGAGTATTATTACTCTATTTTCATACATGGACCGGCCTTTCCATCCATTCGAAAGAAAGAACAAGAGGGAAATTTAGAAAAGACTCATATGTAGTATATCACAAAGGTTTACAAAGGTTACAAGATCATCCTACAACTACTATATGGCCTCCTTTATATAGGACTAGGAGGTTATTACAAGACAAACTTACATTATAAAATAAACCTATCTAACATGGCAAACCTATCTACAAGTGGGTCCCTTTTGGAATGTGAAGGACCTTAGGAAAAGCAACTAAAATGCTCCTGAAAACATGTGAAAGAGGTGAACTATACATGGTATACCATGTAAAAGTATGCGGGAGCATGTGACGACATGTGAAAATAGGGTGTTGCATGTGACAAAGTATGTGGAAGCATGTGAAAATGGGGCCCAGATAGTATGGAAAGATGTGTAAATATGTCTTGGCATGGGTAGATAATTTTTTAGGGTTTTTTGGTAGGTAATGTGGGATTAGCAGGGATTTAGATAATGATCTTTCATTGTTTCTCTGGGTTTGTCTTCTAGGCATCTTTTCAAAGACCTTGTGTAGTAACGACAGGAACTTGACGGTCCTTCTTTGTTGTGTTCTTTTTCCTTTGGATTGAGAGATGTAATCCGCAACTTTAATCTGGAGATGTCGTGAGTGATCTTTTCTCGGATGACTTCTTATGGGGTTTGATATTCCTTTGCTGCTTCCCAGACCCTTTCCTAGTGAGGATGAGTGCTGGTATAATTCATGCTCGCCCAATCTTTTGGCCATATCTCTCTCAGGATGCACCCGTTTTGCTGGAAGATAATTCTTTGTGCTTCACTATATTTTCTTCCATCGATAAAATGGACACGGGAAATTTCCAACAGAACGATGCCTCTGCTTTCGCCTGGACTTTTCCATTAATAATCTTCACTGGCCTATGGAACATGAATACCTTTGCTGTGTAGGAATCGTTGAAATATTTATCCAATATCTTCTAGGCTTAAACCATAGTTAAAATACTTTAAGAGTTGGTTCAATGTTATCAAAATCCTTGAAGACGTTGCATTTGAATTCCATGAAAATATAATACTGATGGCATATGTACCATAAAAACTATAATAGTTCTTGTGGAAAATCCATGGCTTGTGCTATGAATATATGGCAGACTGGATATTCTGGATTGACCCCATAAGGCTTAAGAATGGATCCTCCATGTTACCAGAAAACTTGGAGCTCATAATAAATTCTTCTTTCCATTATAATTGATGAATCAAAGGGATCCATGAGGTTGAACAACCCCGTTGGATGATCAATTGGCTTTAATGAACTTGTTCTTGGTACATTTGAAAACATGAAGATGTGGCTGATTAACTTTTTCTTTGACATCATCTTCGCTAGGGAAAATCTCTTTGAGAATTCTTACGGCCGAGACTGAAAATCTGTGAGAATATTATCCTTTCCTTTCAGGTGCTTGACTTGAAATTTGTATGGAGAGAACCATTGAGCCCATCTGAGAATCTGAGGATTGGGAATAATTTTTGCATTTATCTGGATCATCTTTGGGAAGGCCTTCATATCCATCTCTATTAGAACTTCTGTGTGAATGAGGAAGAAATTGAATTTCTTGATTCCATTCTTTACTGTAAGAATTCCCTTGAAAGTGGAGTGGTAATGTTGCTCGGCATCTTTGAACTTTCCGCTGGCATATCCGCATATTTTTCTCCGGCCATCTTTTTCTTCAAATAGAATGACACTCCAATATTTATTGCTGGCATCAGTTTGCAGTATCTTCTTACATTCTAAAGGGATGTATAGGGACTTGACATTTTAGATATCTCCTTTATTTTCCTGACTGCTTCATCTTGTTTGTTTTCCCATGATGGAGCATTTTTCTTGAGCATCTCTGTGAGCAGAGAAATGTATGTAGAGATATTTGGGATGAAATCTCTTACATAATTTACTACACCCAAGAACTGTTGGATCTGCTTTGTTGTGAGGTTGGTATCTGGAAATTTGAGTAGTTCCTGACATATATGTGGTCCTGGACGGTATGCACCTTGGACAAAATGCATTAGAGAAAATCAATATGTGGTCCTGGACGGTATGCACCTTGGACAAAATGCATTCGAGAAAATCAATCTCTTTTTGAGCAAAAACCATCTTTTTTGCAGAAAGCATGATCCCGTACTGTGTTACCAATGCCTCAAATTGACGAAGCAAGTTGACATGTTCCTCCAATGTATCACTAAATAATAGGATGTCATCAATGTAAACTAAAGAGGTATGGAGGATGTGCTGGAATACTTTTATCATGGATTTTTGCAACAAGGAGGGTGCAGTTTTTAATCCGAAGGGCATGACTTTCCATTGTAAATGATGATCGGGGATGCAGAATTCCATTTTGGGTCTTTCTTCAGGGTGGATCCCCAATTGCCAAAATCCAGATTTTAGATCAAACTTGGAAAAATATTTGGCCTTGGCTAAGTGGGAGAAAAGAGTGAGTTTATTTGGGATAGGGAATTTATCATCTTGGAGGAAGTGGTTAAGTGGCTGGTAGTTAATGACTAACCTGAGTTTTCCTCTTGTCTGCTCAGCTCTTTTGTGACATAAAACGCTTCGCATGCCCATTGTGAATCTGATGGCACTATTACATCAAATTCCAAGAGTTCTTCGCATTTTTTCTTTGCAAGCTGAAGATGATCTGGATTCATGCCTGAATGATTGGATTTTGTTGGATTGATGTTTCATTCTTCTTGAAAGGGAGCTTGATAAAAAATCATTCTTCTTGAAAGGGAGCTTGATAAAAAATCTTCGTTCATCCATAACGGGCTTTTTCCTTTCTTGATAAGATCTTGTGGGATTCAGCACATGAATGCTCAATGAGATTTTGTTCAATCTCTTTGATTTGTTCGTCATTGGTGATTTGGAATAGCCTTGGAATTTTAGAATAAGGTTTGAACTTCTTCTTAAAGGTTATTCCATTAGCCTTGATTTGGAGGTTATCTTTTAGTTGGCTGAAAATGTCGAATCCAATAATAAGATCTTTCCCTGTTACATCGGACCCTATCATCTTGGTTCTGTACTTCAATCCTAAAAAAACTCAATTGTGACCGGGTGCTTTGTGATGACAGTGGTAGTCAAGATTCCATTTGATGCACTGTTGAAATCCTTAAAGTGCGGCACCCATTGATCTTCAGGGAGAGCAACATGGTTCATGAGTGAACAGGCAGCTTCAGTGTTAATGAAAGCAATGACCCGAGTTGGTTTATCCCATTTGGATGAATAAACCTTGAGTTCCACTTGAGGGATGACTGTGAGAGCATTGATCTCTTCTTGGGCTTTAGCCGCTGGTTCTAAAATTTGATAGTGGTCATCACCATGATCTTCGTATATACCAAGAGAGAATAAGGTTTCTTCAGTGGGTTCATCGTCCATAGAGAATATGGACTCGAGGTCTTCTTCTTTTCCGGGATGTATGCTAGTGTAATCTTCAATTTCGTGCAAGAGTTTGACAAATTTCCTCGATTGAGGACAAGTTCTTGCGAAATGTCCAATCTTGTGGCAAATAAAGCATCCGTTCTTTTTTGTGAAAATTTCCTGGTCTCCTTCGTGTGAAATATTTTGTGCGCCTCCTGGACCTTGATTTCCCATATGGAATTCTTGGCCATCTGAACCTCCTGAATCCTCTCCGTCGCCTAGATGTGTGAAAGGAACATCCTGATCCGGTGATCAAATCAGATTTACGGCATGCTTTGTCAAGCACTGGATTGTGTTGGATAATTTGTTTTAGGGCAGAGTGCTTCGTACAAATGTCATCCAATACGACGAAAATAGCTTGCCTTATGTAGCCAACTTCTGGGATTGTTATGGACTGAAACTTTTCTTCAATGATGGTTATGGTTAGGCTTGCAAACAACTTTGTAAGGGAAGAGACAAAGGCTTGCTTCAGGTTGATGTCTCCACCGATCTCGAAGTATATCTTCGCCATATTTTGAAAATGCTTGTCAATGTCATTTCTGTCGAATGACACACACTTCATCTCGAAGTGTTGTCTTCACATCCTTTCTTGTCTTTGGCCAGTATCTTCACAGAAAACTTCATGTAGGATTCTAATGTAGGCAAAGTATTGGGAAGTAAGAAAAGTGTTTGTCTTGAATTCCAAGTGAGTTCCACCAATCTCCGAGTCGTCAACATCAACAAGCATAGCCAGAACTGCCCACCATGATGAACTACCACCACCTTCCTCAATCACAACCACCACCACCACCCACCATTATTAATTATTACCACCCACCACCACTATCCTCAACCATAATCGCTATCACTATCAATCACCACTAGCTACTACCTAGAACCACCACCATCTACCACCTCTAGTCAGCATTCACAAGCACCACCGTTAGCCATCACCACCGTTAACAACCATATTTTAAAAAATATATATTTTAGTTTTTTTGATAGAATATTAGATTAATTAGTATTTTATTTGAATTTTGTGTTTATTAATTTTTAAATAAAGATAAATTTTATATATTCAAATCTTAAAATACAAACAGTCTTAATTATTTAGTATTCAGATCTTGATACACATCTTAAAATTCAGATGTGTATTCAAATTCAGATGTCTTAATCTTAATGCACATCTTGATATTCAGATGTGCATTCAGATTCAAACGTTTTAATCTTAAAAAAACAAATGAGGCCTTAAGATCCTTGCCTAGGGGGTGGCGAATGATAAACTGGTCTGCTAGACTGGCCCCTCAGAAACTGACCTCGGCCTCCAGATGAGGCACCACTGAATCCTCCAAAATGACTCCCTACTTGACCGTTGATGCGCTCGATCCTCCTGGCGATCTCCATAGCTCGAGTAAAAAAAATATCATCCTTAGTCTCTTTGGACATCAGTAGCCTGATACCATATGTAAGACCATCTATAAACCTCCACACCCTCTCCCTCTCAGTAGGGATTAGAATAGCTCCATGGCATGATAAATCCACAAATCTGGTCTCATATTGAGTAACGGTCATGCTACCCTACTGGAGGCGCTCAAACTGACTGCAGAAGTTCTCTCTTTGAGTGAAAGGGAATGAACTTCTCTAAGAACAACTGTGAGAACCGGGCCCACCCCGAACATACTCATGCCACCATCTCTTGACATATCCATGCATCTGAAACACTACGAGGTCAAATTCGTTGGACTCCACTATACTCATGTGGCGTAATACCTCATGGAAACTGTCCAAGAAATCCTAGGGGTCCTCAAAAGGTGAACCACCAAAGCGAGTGGGAAACAACTTGGTGAACTTGTCCAATTTCTTCAGCTCCTCAGCTGACATCGTGGATCTCTCTTCAGGCTGCGTAGAAATAACAGGATAAACTGCCCCAACTGGTAGAACTGCTGGGGTCTGATACCCATGAGCCATATGCTCTGGAGTGTGGGTAATGGGAGTCTGAGCTCCTCCCCTGGGCATAGAACGACTGGTGCAACGGGAAATATATCGGGTTAGGCCACACTCTCCATACGGCCAACCAAGCGGATTAGGGCGTCCTGAAGTATTGGGGTAGAAATAAACCCTTTTGGGACCTGAGTTGGTCCTACTGGCTCGGCCGGGACAGGGATCTCCTCCCCTTGCTTAATTTGAGGCTCAACATCAGGTGCCGCTGCACGTGCTCTAGGCGGAGCGCTGCCTCTACCTCTGGCTCCGCCTCGGCCCTGGCCTCTACTCCTAGTAATGGTTGCAGTCTGGGTCTCTGGCTCCTGATCAGCTGAACTGTCCTCACCATCTATGAGAGAATATAAGAGCAAAGGTTCAGACTTCAGAATTAACAAATCCGCACGATAAGAATGCAATAAAGTAAAGTTTCCTAATAGTCTGGTAACCTCTCGAAAATAAGTACAAACGTCTCTGTACTGACCCAAAATATTCTACTAAACTTGCTCATGACTCGTGAGACTTGGGCAATCTAGGGCTCTGATACCAACTTGTCACAACCCAAACTGCCACCGGAGCTGTGATAGCGCCTAACACTGGTTGCTGGCAAGCCAACAATTTTACAATAGCAATAATCATATTAATGGAACTAAATAAATCTCGACAATGGGATAATATAAAAGTATCCAAAATAACAACAATAACGTAACTACAACCACCCCAATGATCTGGTGTCAACGAGTACATGAGCACTATAGAATCTCAAATACATATCCAACTCCTCAATACAAACTGTATGAACGATAGAACATTGATAACAGAAATAAACAAAGAGAACTCAAGATCTACGAACAACATAGCAGCTACTTCGCAGTCTTCATAATGCTGGTACCTGTGCGAACTCTAGCAATCACCACACCTGGAAGTACCTGGATTTGCACATAAAGTGCAGAGTGTAGTGTGAGTACAGCTGACCTCATGTACTCAATAAGTTACAAACCTAACCACGTGCTGAAAGTAGTGACGAGCTCGAAAGAAAGTCAGTGTCCAACACCAATAGTCAATAACAACTCATAATATAATGAAGACAGTAAAAGTAAATAACCCAAAACATATCATGTCAGCTCGTCCACAATTATGGAAAATTAGACATGCTTTCCAAGTATAACAGTCAAAGCCCAATCTTTCACCGAAATATCTAAAATGTGAGTTTATCATGGAAACTGTGATTTTCCAAACTTTCAACCACGGATAAGACATTTCATTTACTAGCTAGCATGAGGAAAATACATCTCTATGCCTATATGCCAAATATACATGTCAAGTCAATAACATCATAGTGAAATAATCAAGTACACTCACTCTCAGCATACTCACGGTGCGCGGCACACGTGCCCCTCATCATTACACACACAACCACACTCAGCACTGTGTGGGTGTGTCACGCCCCAACCCTAGGGAGCGCGACCAGCGCTCAACCGAGATATCCCAATCAAGCAAGCCTACTTGATGCCTTCTACCCAACCATGAATAATGTGATGATGAATACCAAGAGTTAGAAAAACTAGAGAATAACATGTACAACACCAATTTCATAACTTATAGAAATTTCATTTACGATTTCCGAAATATTACAAGTTCATGGTCTAGAAGTGAAAACATGTCCAACAACTACAACATTTTAGTTTGTTACCCCAATCAAAATACAACCCACAACATGTCTACTGATCCTCTAAGTGAACAAGAGTACAATATGGATGTGCCGGTGACAAGGCCCCGGCTATACCTTTAAAGTACTGTACAAGGGAATCAAAATGATGCAAGGCCCCGATCTATAGTAGGGCTCACCAAGTCAGCTAAGAAGAGAGTATGATGCTATCAACGGTTAATGCTACCTACCAAGGAACGATCTGCGTCCATTAAAGATGCAGCGCCTCCGGCAAAAAGAACGTTAGTATGTATGGAATAGTACTAGTATGTAAAGCTAAGTACCCTCTCATGGAATAGAATGCCAACATAAAGGGTTCATACAAGTGAAAACAATAAGAATATAAACAATATTTGAATGCCGAGTTAAAAGAAGTGAACCTTTCAAATAAGCAATAATAATTTAAGTTGGGAGATCCTTAGTACCGACACACCACCATGCCTATGTCATGGACTCCGATCCCCGCTCGATCGACTAAGCCATCTCACCCCGATCCATGAGGGTTGATATAATAAATCATTACCACCATGTGCGCGGCATGGAATCCGATCACAGTTCGATCGGCTAAGC